ATATTTAAATTATAAGTTGTGAAGTTTTGTATAATGATGTTTTGTAACAGGTCACTAACGTAATTGGCTCACGCTGTGTTAGTGTTCCTGAACCGTCTTCCTGTTTGCATATGTATATTTCTGTTGACGGCTGAAGTTAATAAATCAATTGCTGTGATAATGCATTAGTGGAAACACAATTTCTTTACAACGCCATGCGCATGCGCAACTGAATTTCCTTCGAATTGACATATAAATGACAAGTTCGAAGATGTATGTATGTATGTATGGATGTATGTATGTATTTAATTTCTTTAGAGGCGCTATCCTCATCAGCTATACGGCTGGTTTTCATGAGGGGCGTCTATTTAGCTATTTATACAAGTATATAAAAATGAAGAAAAAACTAATTAACCCACAGACCCAAAAAGAATATTACCCAGAACATAATGTGTAGTTATACAAATGGAATAACAATTAAAAACTGAAGATTCAAATAAGTCTTTTGAAACAATAAATCGAATGAGCAGACTTAGCCTCAGCAGAAAGGCTATTCCACAGTACAGCTCCACTATATCTAAAGCTTCTTTTAAGAAATTCTTTCTTAGGTTTTGGAAGTGAGAGATCTGTATCATAATTTCTGAGATGATAGCCTCTGAGATGATGATGATGAAGCCTCTGTGTGATATGTTTTTTAAAATGTTATAGTAAAACCAGATGTTCTCTCGCAAGAGCATTACAATATTAATAATTAAAATAATAATAATAAAATTTCTATAGCGCATGTACATTGCTGTTCTACTGTATATTGCAATTTTGATAGACAGATTGCTCTGAGCAATTTGCAACTGACACAAACAAATTGCAAGCACCAATCCAGTTGCTCAGACTATTTGCTTGACTTCCCTCTTTTTTATAATCCAATCAGAGGCTTTGTTTACAAAACTTTGTGAATTTCAATTTGCAATTTGTTCACGTCAGTTGCAAATTGCTCAGAGCAATCTAAAACTGTCCGTACCAGTGTGGGTAGTACCAATGTGAAATTGCTGTGCTGAGTATACTGTAGTTATCCCCGAGCCAACGGCGCAGAGCGCCATTCCGGGCATAAGCCCGGGGCGAGGGTACTAATTCCCCCCGGCTATTTACACCCGGGGAAAAGAAAGCATTAGCCAAGTCTAAAGTTCATCAATGAGCACAGGCGTCAGTCACCAACGATGTTGTCATCCTCACTGATCCCAAAAATATGGCTGATTGCTTGTAGGAGTGGGATTCATGAGCAACATTTCAATTTTAAAAGATATAAATTTGGAAAATCGTTTCATACACAACAAGCTTGAAGCAATTTTGTTTGAAGAAATGAGAAGAATTGATTTACTATGGGAAATTGTGAAATATACGGCAAGTATGTTTACGAATTAATATTTTGTTGCTTTAAACTTTTTGCCTAAAAAGATGAACTGTTTTCCTTTTCAACAAAGCTCTAAGTTTCATAAATTACCGTTTAATTTGAGAAAAAATGATACTAATCTCAAAATGTAAAGGAGAACAAATTGATTTGAAGACTGAACTGAAATTACATGTAGCTAACAATTTGTTTTATTTGTAACTTATTATGTTTTATTATTAGTTTATCAGCAAATGAACTATAGTTGAATGGACATTTCAAAACATTTTACGAAGCGTTTCAAGTTAAATTTTACATTAAATCAAAGCTCACAAAATGCAAAATAATATACCTACAGTATATATTTCGGAAATGTATTGTTGTATAGTTAAAAGTACAACTCTTTTAACTATTTTGCAGTTTTGTACAAAAAATATGAAAAAATCAAAAATTTAAGAATATCGTGTTGTCATGGCAACACTTGAGCACAGGCCTGGTTCAGTAGGCCATTTTTGAATACTTCATGTTAATTTAATGTTTGGAAAATATTGGCGAGGGGGTTATTGCATGCATGTATTTCTAGTATTACTACCTGAAATAAACAAGGAGAAACTCGACGTTTCGAGCAAGGGCCCTAGTAGGAACTACTAGCTCTTGAAGAAGGGCCTTCGTTCCAAACGTTGAGTTTCTGCTTGTTTATTTCGGGTAGTAATAGAACCACTCAGCACAGCAATTTCTCAGAGCAATCTGCCTATCAAAATTGCACTATTGTGGGACAATATCGCAATGTTGCATGCAAGGGAACACCCGGTTTACTGTAGGAATGAAATGCTTCATTGATATTTTGGAGAGGGTCTCAGAATTTTTTGTTTCTTGCCCTGACGAAAAAAGTCTATAGGTGGCCTATAGGTTCCTATAGGGAATGTTCCAATTCCCTATAGAAGCCTTTAGGCACCTATAGAGCTCTATAGGCTTATAGGCATCCCTATAGGTCACCTACAGAAAATGTTCCAATTGCCTATAAAAAGTTGGCCTATAGGCAGGCCTATAGACTTTTTTTGTTAGGGTGCTTAGGTGTGGGGGCAGGAGGGGGGGGGGGGG